AAAAATAGTCATTGGCTGTAATTTTCAGCTCAGCGCCGTGCGTTCCGATGCCGGCTGTGGCCTCTGCGCCAAGCACATGAGCCAGCCTCCGCGGGCGGCGCCTGGGGCTGGGCCTGAATCGCTGGGCGGTGCTCTGCGCCCCAGGCTGCCTCCGGGCGCGATGCCTCTGGGACGCCTCGCTGCCCCGCGGGCTTGGGGGCATCACGGGCGCACAGTGTGGTCACTGAACGCCAGGTGTGTGCCGCCGCCGGGAGTTTGTAGGAAGTGCCACCGCGTCCCACCCCGAGGCTCGGGGCTGAGCCTTGTTTGGAGGTAGTGGGGGCGCTGGTGGGCGCCCAGCAGTGGGGGGGCCCGAGGGGGGGGGCGGGCACCTGCCCAGACCCGTGTGGCACCAGGTGGCCGCCTGAGAAGCGTCCCCAGCGCGGCCTGTGGCACCGGGGCGGCGGGGCCACTCCGCGTGCCTGCGCTTGGTTTCAGCTCCCGAGAACGACTCGAAGCTGGTGGGCCTCTCGGGGCAGCTGGTGGACCTGGCGTGCCAGGTGTGCCAGGCCTACCTGGGGCAGCTGGAGCACGAGGACATCGATGTCGCCAAGGACGCCGCCACGGACCTGACCGAGGAGCAGTGGAAGGAGCTGACCCAGCAGTACTACGCCCTCATTCAGTGAGAGCGCCCGGGGCGCGGGGCACGGGGGCGCGGGGACGCGGGGGCGCGGGGACCTCAGCCTCTGGGTCGTCAGGGCGCCTGTCCGGGCGTGAGGGTCACCGTCCGGGATTGAGGGTCACCGTCTGGGATTGAGGGTCACCGTCCGGGATTGAGGGTCACCGTCCGGGATGGAGGGTCACCGTCCGGGCGGGAGGGTGACCGTCCGGACGTGGTTAGAGACTCCCATCGACTGTGGAAAGTGCTCCCCATCATCTCCCAGATGTGGCTCCTGCTCCTCTCTGGCCTCCGGTCACGTCTGAGGGTGTGTCACGTGTCCCCATGCTCTCGCTGCACCTGTCCCTCTGAGCTGAGCGTGGACATTGGTACTGACCCACCTTCAGGTCGGGCAGTTCTGTCTTCTGTCGTCTCCAGCCCAGTGCTGAGGCCGCCCCTGGATCATCTCTTGTCTCCTGTCTTTGCTCGAGGTCAGGGTGTCCTGCTCCTCGGTCTGTGTTGTGCTGAGCCAGGCTGGCGTGTGAGCAATCCCGGCCTGGAGTCTGTGCCGTCCGGAGAGGGGGTCGCACTCCCCTCGGCTGTGGGTGGATGTGGAGCTGACGCCCTCCCCGGGGAGCAAGGGGACGGGGCGGGCGGCGGGTTGACATCTGGTCGCTCTGGTGTCAGACGCCTCCACAGTGAAATCAAAACGCCTTTGCAGCCTGGCCAGCGGGCTGGTTGGATGGCGCGTCGTCCGGTGCCTAGAAAGGTGACAGGTGTGATTCCTCGTCAGGGCACATGCCCAGGTTGGGGTTCCATCCTGGTCCAACCAATTGACGTTTCCCTTTTCCCCTCCCCCTCCCCCTCCCCCGCTCTCTAAAAATCAGTAAAGACATATCCTCAGGTGAGGGTTACTTATTTATTTATTGTAATCCTCACCGAGGAGTGAGGATATTTTTTCCATTGATTTTTAGAGAGAGTGGCAGGAGGGAGACAGGGAGGGAGGGAGAGACATCGATTGGCAGAAACAGGTGGATTAGTTGCCTCCCGCATGTGCCCCGACCAGGGTCAGGGATTGAACTTATACCCCAGGTACGTGCCCTTGACCAGGAATTGAATCTGTGACCCTTCTGTGTGGCCAACGCTCTAACCACTGAGCCACTGGCCGGGGCTAATCTTCTTTCTTCTACCTGTTGCAGCAGGTGTAACGGCTGGCCACCGCTCACTGCATGCTACTTAAATGAGGTCTCCTAATCAAGTATTCTCCGTCATTTTTTTAAAATATATATTTTATTGATTTTTTACAGAGAGGAAGGGAGAGGGATAGAGAGTTAGAAACATCGATGAGAGAGAAACATCGATCAGCTGCCTCTTGCACACTCCCCATTGGGAATGTGCCTGCAACCAAGGTACATGCCCTTGACCAGAATCGAACCTGGGACCCCTGAGTCCGCAGCCCGACGCTCTATCCACTGAGTCAAACCGGTCAGGGCTCTCCATCATTTTATTGCATCTCCTACATTTGGTTTTTAGTTACACATTTTTATTTTTTACTTTTAGGATTTACCTCCCAAAAATTACAAAACATATTGATTTTTTTAAAAATGTTTTTATTGATTTTTTAAAAACATTTCTTTATTTATTTCAGAGAAGAAGGGAGAGGAAGAGAGAGAGAGACATCAATGATGAGAGAGAATCATGGATGGGCTGCCTCCTGCACGCCCCCTACTGGGGATCGAGCCCACAACCCGGGCCTGTGCCCTGACCGGGAATCGAACCGTGACCTCCTGGTTCCTAGGTCAAGGCTCACTCGCTGAGCTGCCCGGCCAGGCCAGGTTGGCGTTTCACCAGGAGGTCCCCCTGGGGGGAATGCCATCCCAGACACCCCCTCCCGCCACACACACGGGCCTGCAAGGGCCACACTGACTTGGGGCCCCACGTGGGAGCCCCGCCTTAGTCTCCCTGCAGCCTTTACCGGGCCAGGTCTACATTCGGGGCCCCAGTGTCCACGCCCCCCGGCCAGGAGCAGCCGCCCTGAGACCCTCCGCGCTCTCTGCCCTTTGCAGTGGCAAGGCCTTCATCTCCAATCCAAGAAACCACTTTTCGCAATGCCAGGCCCTGCTGAACAGGATCTCCTCGGCCAGCCCGCAGACGGAGATCGACGGGCTTCGGAACATCTGGATCGTCAAGCCCGCGGCCAAGTCCCGGGGCCGGGGTGAGTGCCGGGGAGGACGGCTGCGGGGACAGCCCTCCATGGGTGAGGAGTGGGCCGGGCACCAGGGTCCAGGGCTCAGACTCCCAGGCTCCCGGCAGCCCTGGTCCCGGGAACAGGCATCTCACAGGACTGTCCTCTGGCTTCTGCCCTGGGCTCTGCTCGTTCACTGGGAGGCTCCTTCCTCTTCCCAAGTCCAACGGGTCTGCCGTTTCCTTGTTGATGGGATGATCCTGGCAACAGGCTCCTGCTCGCTGCTGAGTGGACGAAGGGCCGCCCTCGGGCAGCAGGGCCCACTCCTCGGGTCTCTTCATAACCCTCCTCGAGCCCAGGCGCTCGGGCGTCTGCGGTGACTGTGTGTCCGTTTTATGCCTCATCTTCTCGCATCGCAGCCATGACCATGTTCTTATTCCCAATGGTCAGCGCTCTGTGCTTCTTTCTCTCTTTTTTAAAAATAAGATTTCAAGGTAGATTTGTGCTTCCAAAGAACAACTTTCGGTTACATTTTTTCTCAATGTTTCTTAAGGGACATTTCCCCCCTTGGCTCTGACTTAAACACTAAGCTTATTTACTTTCAATATTTCTTGTGCAACAAGAAACTGCAAGGCTATGAAATCTCCTCTGGATATGGCTTTAGCTGCACCCTCTTATTTGTTATATAATGTTCTCATTTTCCTGAGCCTCTAAATATATTTTTCTTTTCATTTGGAGATTCTGTTGGCCCCTTGAATTATTTTTTTGTTGTCATTGTTTTAAATTCACAAGTGGTTAATTTTTATGTGACTTTTAAAGATCTATTAATTTGATGTTACTGCACTCTGTCCTAAACATCATCTGTCCAAGAACATTCTCTCTGCCGGCGGGAGCAGTGCTAGGCCTGGGCTCTGTCCTGAGCCCACGGCTCTGGATGGCAGCGCTGTCTGCTGGTGGCTCCCTGCTCCCGTCCCTCAGGCCAGACCTTCTCCCACTGCACCCCCAGGACACCCACAGACTCACTGGTCAGGACCCCAGAACACCACTTTCCTCCTGGTCACTGGCTGTGTCCCCGCCTCTGAGTCCTCCCTGCCCTCAGCTCAGCATCACGCCACTGCTGGTTGCTTTGTCCCAGCCTTTCCTTCAGGACGGAAAGGTCCCATCTTACTGCAGCTGGAGACCAGCCTCGTGTTCTTGTGAGGAAAGCTCCCCTCCACCCTCATGTCAGTCAGGATGGGCCAGGTTGTGCCGCGTAACAAACAGTCCCCAAACCTCAGTGGCTCTCAACGAGGCCATGAATGAGCCTCACCAAGTTCATCCCTCCTCATGCCTGTTGCCCATGCAGCTTGGCATGGGAGGGTGGTGTGGGGGGCTCTGCCCACCAAAGTCCCCCACCCTCTACGGTGTGACACCACTCGCTGCAGGCGTCAGGGTTGCCAGGGAAAGCGGGCGCAGGGTCTGTGGGTGACAGCAAATGCTGCAGCCGGAGCGGTGATGTCACTTCTGCTCAGACGTCACTGCTCACGACTAGTCACGTGGCCTAACTTTGGGGGGTGAGCGTGAGAAACCGTAGCCCCCCTGCAGAGTGGAGGAGGGCCAGGTGGGGGTGAGCACTAGTGCACCCAGCCCACCCCCCTTGTCCAGTCACCCGTGGGCGTGAGGCCTCCCTGGACCTCCCAGTTGGCGGAGCAGCCCACGCCCCTGCCTGCTGGCTTCCCAGAGCCGGCCCTGCTCCCCTGTCCAGCCATACCCGCCTCTCCCTGGCCGCCTTCCCAGAGGGCCTCTGTCCACCTCTCCCTCCCCATCCTCACGTCCTCCCTGCAGCCCTGGGGTTGCACCGGCTGCAGGCTGGACCTGAGGTCAGAGCCCGCCCCACCCCCTCCCCCTGGCCCTCGCGCTCCCTCCCCTCCCCCAGCCCCGCCACGCTGCCTCTTGCAGACATCGTGTGCATGAACCGCGTGGAGGAGATCCTGGAGCTGGTGGCCTCGGACAACCTCTTGGCCAAGGACAAGTGGGTGGTGCAGAAGTACATCGAGACGCCACTGCTCATCTACGACACCAAGTTCGACATCCGGCAGTGGTTCCTGGTCACCGACTGGAACCCCCTGACCATCTGGTTCTACAAGGAGAGCTACCTGCGGTTTTCCACGCGGCGCTTCTCCCTGGACGACCTGGACGGGTCAGTGGGCGTCGGCGCCGCGCCGTGGGGGGGGCCCGAGCAGGGCGCCCAGGCTGTGTCCGCTGTTGCCCACCACCCACCACGTGAGGCACAGAGGGGAGGCCCAGGCCCCTGCCCCCCAAAGCCAGCGCTCTGCACGCCCACGAAGTGTGAATCTTCAGAAAATCCCGGAAGCACCCCCCCCCGTCCCTGCGCCCCGCTTCTCCATCTGGGACCCCAGGCTGCGAGGGGGTCCCTGAAATCGTTTCTGCGCAGGCGTGGCCCTGCCAGACGGGGTGAGCCCCGAGGGTCCGTCACCCTAACACCTGCGGTAGGGCAGCTTCCAGACTCTTCCGTGTGCCCGAGTCTCTTCCCCCTCTTGTGTCTCACGGAGTAAAACTTACCCACGGCCATGGGGGCGGGGGCGGGGCCCGGCGCCAGCACCAGGTGGGAATCCCAGACACACGTGCATGGACGTGACCTCGAGAGCACCCCTGGGGTTCAGGGTCCCCAGAGACGTTACTCTGTTTAGAACAAGGCCCGAGTCTAAGTGAACGAACCGGAAAGGTTAGTTGGTGAATCTTTCTCCCCAGACCAGCTCCTCAAGGCCCATCTTATTGCCGTGGACATTGGGGAAACTGAGGCTCGGGAGGTTCCTCGTTGGTGGCCCGGGCTGGTGGGATTTTTAAAATATATATATTTTTTTTATTGATGTCAGAGAGGAAGGGAGTGGGAGAGAGAGATAGAAACATCAAGGATGAGAGAGAATCATGGATTGGCTGTCTCCTGCACGCCCCACACTGGGGATCGAGCCTGCACCCCGGGCATGTGCCCTGACCGGGAATCGAACCGTGACCTCCTGGTTCACAGGTCCCCGCCGGCCGGGCATGGGCTTCTGTCCTGGCCCTGGTGCACTCTGTGGTCCCCCAGGCAGGACGGGGAGCTGTTGGCGTCCCTCCTGCAGCCACCTGGTGCCAGGGGGCGTGGCCCCGGGTGGAGCTGGGTGTGGGTTTGGGGGCGGGGGCTGGGTGGGGACTCGGGGGGCGGCCCTGACCGTGGCCTGGCCTTGCAGGGCCATCCACCTCTGCAACAACTCCATCCAGAAGCACCTGAAGATCGACAAGGGCCGCAGCCCGCTGCTGCCCTACCACAACATGTGGACCAGCGCGCGCTTCCAGGAGTACCTGCAGAAGCGCGGCCGCGGCTCGGTGTGGGGCAGCGTCATCTACCCCGCCATGAAGCAGGCCATCGCCAACACCATGAAGGTGGCCCAGGACCACGTGGAGCCGCGCAAGAGCAGCTTCGAGCTCTACGGCGCCGACTTCATCCTGGGGCACGACTTCAAGCCCTGGCTGATCGAGATCAACTCCAGCCCCACCATGCACGCCTCCACGCCCGTCACGGCCCAGCTGTGCGCGCAGGTGCAGGAGGACACCATCAAGGTGGTGCTGGACCGCAAGGGCGACCGCAACTGCGACGTCGGCAACTTCGAGCTGCTGTGGAAGCAGGTGCGGGCGCCGGGCACGGCTGCCCAGCCCAGGCGGGGGCGGGGGGACCCAGGCTCCGAACTCGGGGTGCTCCCAGGGCCTGGCCCTGCCCCCGCTGGTTGGCCCCTCATGCCAACCGAGCAAAGGGGTCACTGGGCTTGTGGGGCGCCCATGGCTGCTGGGTCCTTCCCTGCCGGTTCTTGCTGGGCCCCCCTCTTCTCTTCGGGGAATCGCACCCCCCAGGGGCCTCTGCAGGCCATGGGGGGCGGGGGGCTCTGTGCCGGCTGCTGGCTCTGTGGGTGGACCCTGCACCGAGGCCTCCCCGGAGGGCGGGCGGCCAGCATCGGGCAGTGTCGCCAGTGCTTCCCTTTGTGGCCTGATGCCTGACCGGCCGTCCAGGAAAAGGGGGCGCTGGTCCCTGGGGAGGGCAGCCAGCGCTCCTGACCTCGCCCCCTCGCCCCCCTCAGTCTGCTGTGGACCTGCCGCCGGTCTACGGGTCTGACCTCTGCGTGAAGGGTGTCAGCCTGGCGGAAAGGCAAGAAGCAAATGCCGCCCATCCCCCACTTCAGATTCTCCCCCCTCGCTCCGGGACCGCGCAGCCCGCTGAAGGCGGCGGGGGCCCCACGGGCCATGCCCGACCTGGCGGCCCGGGCCCCGGGCCCTTCCCGGCAGCACTTGGAGGCTGAAATACGGAAAGGGTGGGTTGCCGGAGCCCCTTCTTGAGGGCGTCTTTCTGGCTTTCTAAGGCTCAACACGGAGACAGGTGAGGCCCGAACACTGGTCCAGTCGGCAGTTGCGG